CACTGGAAGTGGAGCATCCTGAGTATCAGAAGGATCCAGCTTCTCCTGATTCACCTTGTCAATGAAGGAAGCAAATTTATTGTTGAGAGTTTTGATCTGCTCCCTCTCCTGAGACTTCACATTCTGGATCTCTGGGTCAACTTTCACGTTGAGAGGCTGCAGGAGGCTCTGATTGATAGAGACCTCATGGATGCCTCCACCAGGGTATCCTCCAGGCCCAAAGCCACCAGGACCCCCAAAACCTCCAAAGCCACCACCACCTCCAAAGCGGCCTCCACCAAAGCCGCTTCCACCGAAACCACCTCCTCCGAAGCCACTGCCTCCTCCAAAGCCGCTGCCACCTCCAAAACCAATGCCACCAAAGCCACTGCCGCCTCCAAAACCACCTCTGCCACCAAATCCACCACCGGAGCTAAGGCTTCCACCTCCTCCAGCCACACTAATGGAGATGCTCTTGGTCCCTCCAAGGCCAACAAGACTTCGACTGCCAAAGCCGCCTCCACCGAAGCCCCCTCCGCCACCGCCATGGCGGCTCAAGCAGGAGAAGCTGGAGGCTGATCTCCGGCTTCCAGAGACCACGGCTGAGCCACTGCTGAAGCCCCGGAATCCTCTGCCACCTCCTCCTCCTCTTCCTCGAGATTTGCAGGAGATCTGACAACTCATGATGCCTTTGTCCAGTGAGGAAAGCTGAAGGTTCCTGAGAGGAGTCAAGGCTGGAGATTCAACACAGCTGTTGGGAGACTGTCAGGGTCCCCTTATATACCCGCCAACTAGGTGTTGGTGTACATGGGTGTGGGCCCACTTATGCATGGGTTTGGTCTGCCTGGAAGCTATTCCTGGTGAGTGATTATCAATCTAATAGCCATTAAAAATCTACTAATCAGCTGCATCCCAGAACCTGCTTTGATTGCAAACTTCTGTTTATCTGGGCATCTGTCACGCAATTTGATTTTTGTAAAATCATCAGAAGAGGAGATCAGGATTTGAGTTTCTCAATCTGAAAAAGGACCTTCTGCAGAATGCTGCTCCCTGTTCTGAACTGACCCAAAAGAGGCCGGCTACCACCTGGACCTGTGCAGGCTTACCACCCAGTTCCACTATGAGAAGGATGAGATTTAGAGACTATGAGAACCCCACAGTACCAGGCTTAGAGTCCTCCTTGCTTTTCCCTCTTCCCCAGGAAGAGCTTCAACAAGTAGAGGAGAGACACTGCAGAACACAGATGTGAGGAAATCAGCATCCTCTTTTTTTTTTTTTTTTTTTTTTTTTTTTTTTTTTTTTTTTTTTTTCCG